GACAAGGGGGATTCTTTTTTGGTTTTTATTGCGTGGACGGGGTGTGAGGGATGAGGTGCGGGAGATGTGGGAGACACGGTTGAGGGCGTTCTCGACCACCGAGGAGGGGAAGTTACGGTCCTTGAAAAACGAGGACAACTGAGATGTACGGGAGTGGAATGCCTCATCCTGGGAGCAGATGCGGCGGAAGCGAAGGAATTGGGAATAGGGGATAGCATTTTTGCAGGAAGGTGGGTGGGAGGAGGAGTATTCTAGGTAGCTGTGGGAGTCGGTGGGCTTGAAATGAATATCGGTTTCTAGGTGGTTGCCCGATATGGAGGCAGAGAGGTCCAGGAAGGGAAGAGAGGTGTTAGAGATGGTCCAGGTAAACTTAAGGTTGGGGTGGAAGGTGTTAGTGAAGTGTATGAACTGTTTGAGCTCCTCATGGGAGCACAAGGCGGCGCCGATACAGTCATCAATGGTTTTCTCTTGTGAAGACCCGCCCAAGCTATTCGAATCTTTTTACATCATTTGAATTTACAAGTCATAATAGTGTTTGTTATTCACCTACATCATTGTCACGTTCCATTACTGTCAATTCAGTTGACAACAGGGTGACGTGAATTGGAAGAGGGAAACGTACACTGATAGCTAACTGCTATATTGTTCATCTTGTTTTGAGGGGACACCTAAAATTTGGGCACTGGGACATCAATCTGTTTATTACCCCATTACAACAGCTTAATGTCTGAGAGTGGCCCCTTCTGGCCTTGGTCTCTGGGGCAAGGAGCCATTCGCTCTGGGTCCAGCATTGTTCACACGGGGAGCATTGTCATTTCCTGTTTCTTTGATGACAGAAAGTTCGGTGGAAAGACAGGTAATGTTGAGGAAACAGGGAAGCTGCAAAAGGAATTGGACAGTCTCGGAGAGTGGGCAAAGAAATGGCAAATGGAATACAATGGGGGAGAAGTGTGAGGTTATGCACTTTGGTGGGAATAGAGGCAAAGACTGTTTTCCAAATGGGGAAGTCTTCGAAAATCTAAAGCACAAAGGGACTTGGGAGTCCTACTTTAGGATTCTCTTAAGGTTAAGATGCAAGTTCATTTGGCAGTTAATGTAACATTAGTATTCATTTCAAGACGGCTAGAATACAAGAGCAGAGATGTACTGCTGAGGCTGTATAAGGCTCTGGTCAGACCGTATTTGGAGTATTGTGAGCAGCTTTGGGCCCCGTATCTCAGGAAGGATGTGCTGGCCTTGGAGGGGGGTCCAGAGGAGATTTACTGGATCCCAGGGATGAAGGGCTTGTCTAATGAGGAGTGGTGAGGACTCTGTGTCTGTACTCAATGGAGTTTAGAAGGATGAGGGGGAATCTGATTGAAACTTACAGAATACTGAGAGGCCTGGATAGAGACTAGGACATGAGGGGCACAGCCTCAGCGTGAAGGGATGACCCTTTCAAAATGAGATGAGCAGGAATTTCTTCAGCCAGAGGCTGGTGAATCGGTGGAACTCATTGCCGCAGAGGGTTGTGGAGGCCAAGTCATTGAGTGTCTTTAAGACAGTGATAGATAGGTTCTTGATTGGTAAAGAGATCAAGGGCTAGGGGGAGAAGGCAGGAGAATGGGGTTGAGAAACATATCAGCCACAATCAAATGGCAGAGCGGACTCGATGGGCCAAACAGCCTAATTCTGCTCCGTTATCACATGGGTCTTAGATTCACTCTTACTGAGTGACCTGTAATGGAATACACACTTTAGCACCTCGGAATAAGAGCTTTCTGTCCCTATTATACGTACCACCCACTCTAAAATGCACTCAGGCAACTGAACAACCAATGCAACTTAAGGGCTAGGAGCAGGAGGAGACCATTCAGCCTCTTGGGTGCCTGCCACCTTATTCGATGCAGCGCGGCTGATCCCATCTTGGCCTCAATTCCAGTTTCCTGCCCCCACTCCCATTCACCCATCATTGATTACAAATCTGTCTGTCTCCTCCTCTAATTTATTCAGTGTCCCAACATCCGCAACACACTCGGGAGCAGCAGTGTGTACCCACAGCACAGCAAATCCCCCAGATTCACATCCCTCTCTCCCTTGGAGAGAAGCCATTCCTCCTTATCTCTGTTTTCAATCTGTCTCAAACCCTTCTCCTGAAATGGTGACCTCTTGTTCTAGATTGTCCCACATGAGCAAACATTCTTTTTCCTTCTCCTTTCCGTCTTATATCCCTAAGTTAGATCTCTTCTCATTCTTCTTAACTCCAGAGATTATTGGCTGAAACTGCTCAATCTCTTTTCATCAGACAAACCCTTTAGCTCAGAAAATGAAATGGACAAAATCACCTTACATCTAAATAGTATCTTGGATGTAGA